TAGCAAACCCTAATTTGCGAAAACCCTAAGCCCAAGGGTTTACTTGTCATAAACCCTAACTGTCAAGTTCAACCAATTGCATAAAATACAATAGAAAACAATCCTAGACTCTGATACCACTGATGGGTTTTGAGCATAACAAACAAAAACTTATGTGTGTATGCAACCCTAATTTGTAGGATCTATGTTTTCACTATTGCACATGCAAGTATTGAACACAAAAATAAAACCTAGAAGATATTTGCTATTATCAAAATTCATGATAGAAGATAGTAGACATACCTTTAATTGTTATATAGTAATAACAATGTAAATCCAAGATTTCTTGAAGCTTGAGAGCGAGCACCACAAGTGTCGTGCCTCTAATGGCTCACAAACACACTTAGCAAGAAGATGAGGAGAGGTGAGATTTTCAGATTCTCTTCTAATCGTTAGGAGTGGCCGAAAATGCTTAAGGGTGATGTCTTTATATAGTGCAACAAGGATGCCCTAGATAAGCCTTATCTGAATAAAATATTAATATTTCAAATTTGTAATTATTCAGCTCCTTAATTATCTATATAAGATAGGATAACTCTAGAAATTCTAGAATTATCTTTTATATATATATATATATATATATATATATATATATATATATATATATATATACATAATTTCGTCCACCACCTTCCCTAGGAAGGTTCTAGACCATTTTGATCAACTATTGAACAATTGCACTTTTAGTCCCTGTACTTTTAATTAATTCATTTAATCCCAAAATTAATTCCAATTTAATTTCTGATTAAATATTAATTAAAAAATATGATTTCTAATTAATATATTATTTTCATAACACATTAATAAATCATTTATTTCAATTTATTAATCAAATAATAAATTCATCATCTCTCTCCAAAAGTCATCCTGTCTAGTTGCTAGTGTGAAGACAACCCAAAAGGACTGTGCTACTATCAAATCAAGTACATACCAATTATAGTTATGAGCTTAGACACCTAATCTAACATTTCACATGGATTTTAACAGTATAAACCGGTCTAAATATGAAATTTTGTTAGAGCAAGAATTATATGTTGAGACCTTAGTGAAAGTTGTAGCGCTCACAAGGGGATTATGGGGATATAAAGAACGTCAAAAACGGAGCTCGTATGTGAAAGTTATGGCCGTCCGAAGATCTGCGAAAATTGCATTGTGCTAATGATGTGGCAGCACCGGAGTGCGTCATGTGGCCATCTCGGGTAACTGACCCTCCTGTAAGACCGAGCGACGTGGTACGACATGAGACATGACTTCACCTAAATGTGACACGTGGCATGGCCGGAGGCGACATCGACAGGCGAGGTGGACCAAGGATGAGACAACACGTCGACCAACCAAGGGAGGACATGTCATCATGAGGCGGCACACACAAACATGGGGAGTGAGACGCCTCATCCGTTTCCTATAAAATTCCTACGGAAACTGCTCATTCTCTCTCACAATCCATCCAAAACCTCTCTGGAGATCTTCCTTTCTTGATTCTGATTTTATTGGATAACTGGAGTATTTTAGCTAAACTTTGAAGTAGCTAGGAGCCCAACAAATAGAAGGGTTCGGGTCGAGATGCTGTTCGTGCGTTTTCTCAGTTTTCGCTAAAAACTATGTAAGTTAAGCTACGCTTATTTTATTTTAAGTGTAACTTTTAATTATAGTCATAGTCGTTATTATGAAACTATAATTAAGATTTATCAGTTATTCCAGTCATAATATTGATTTATCTACTTACGAGGGAGATTCCTAGAATGGTCACGTTGGCTTGGTTGTTGGATTTCAGAAAGGCTATACGCCGAAATGGTCATGCCTCCCAACTTTCGTACCTGGCCGATCCTTATTTCATAGAACTCTCAGTATTTATTGGTATTATTGAGAAATCTAGACTATCATTAGTCGCCAGGAATATTAGACTAAGACTGTATAAATCATACTTAGGTCGCGTCTAAAGAAAAGCTAAAGGTGTTAGGCAAAGCTCTGCCGGAATCAACAGTCATTCACCTAAGTCAACTGAGTGCATAGTTACTTTCAACTTACACATAAATACAAATATTCTAAGTGCCTAAATGCTACGTGAGTTGTCTTTGCTATGTGTAACATATTTGTACAATATGATATGATTATTACTTAATCTAATCATATATTACACTTAATGATAAGATTGGGTAGTAAAAGGGGTTGTGTGAAATAACAAATGAGAGGCTGTGATAGGGTTGTGTGAGATAGTTATTGTGATAGGTTAGTGAGAGTTGTGCGGAATAATAAGCTATGACTTTCCGTGCCTAACTAAAGTACTATTGTACTGTCGTGCTAATCCAAAATACTATTGTACTGTCGTGCCTATCCAAAGTACTATTGTACTATCGTGCTTACCCAAAGTACTATTCGTACTGTCGTGCTGCGTCCAAAGTATTATCATACTATTGTGCCTAACCATTTAGGAAAAATATATGAGTGTTGTCAAAGATCCTTTATAAAAGATTTCTCGAGATCATCATTCTAGGATTAGGAAATGAGAATAACGGGAATGAGGTAACTGGTTTATTTAAATGCTGAAGATTATATAATTAAAGATTATAATATTGTGGGTTGAAAATTGTATAAACTCACCAGGTTTCCCAACATGACCCACTCAGTTTCTTTGTATCACAGGTAGCGATACGAATGTACTGATAGATAATGTAATTATCTACTAAGAGATTTAAGGAGTTGGTAAGCTGCTAGAATATTGATGTAAGACTTATTTATGCTTATGTTTCTGTATCAGTTATGACATCCAAAGTTTTATTAATCAATGAAAAACATTTTCTTCGAAAATAATTTTAATGGGACGAATTCCACATTTATAAAGATAACTTTGATTTAAAATAAACATAAAGGAAAAGGTTTTAAATGGTTGTAGATTTGTGGATGACACACACAACAGTTTGCAAGTCAAAAGTCTTCTAAAAAATAAACAGTGTTGAAAGGTCAAGTGTTAGTGTTGCCCGTGTGTTGCTCGGTGCAGTCAAAAGTGGTTTAAAAAAACAAACAACCCCTAAGACTCATGCTCACAACTCTCAACCTTACAAGTCCAACCTTCTTCAAATATAACTTGTAATAGTTATCTCCCACCTATTTAAAGTAAATCAACATCATACAACTCTCAGGATCATATAAACAAGAAAATTAAGAGCTACATACAAACAATGGCGAATCTAGAACAAAAAATCACATGGTTCCCAAATTAAGTGAAGCTAATAAAAAAAATCAACAACACTTTTGGGGGTTGGGTCGGGTCGGATCGTGTACCTTAAAAAAAACTGGACCAACCGGTTCAATTGATTAAAACCGATTATGCGCCACCGATAAAAAATTTTAAAAACCGATTGAAATATAACTGGAAAAAAAAACTCGTACGATTTAACGAAAAACTAGTTGATCATTAGTCTATTAATAAAGTGGCGAACGGAAAATAAAAGTCTTTGGCATATGGCTTCTTTTTTATTAGAGCAATTTACCTTTTTATTGATATTTTGAGAATGTTGAATAAGAGTGGTTAACTTTTTGTTATCAATCTCATAATTAAAAATAACAAATTGTCCCTAATAACTTATATTTTTCTCATTTTAAAATAATTTTTTAAAACATTTAAAAAAAACAAATTCAAGGTAGGTCCTCTATTTTTTTCTAAGATAGTTCCTAAATATTCTACTATATATATTGGAAATGAAATTAAGGATCCCCTTCATAAATACGCCCCTACATACAAAATCCACATAAAAAGAGAAGAACTTTTCCTTTTTCCATCCGCTATGAGAATCTCTCGGAGGCTCGTAAGTCATAAATTCTTGAAATCATTCGGTTTTGATTTTGATTCTAACATGTTTACGGGTTGTAATACTCCGAAAAATGATATGGATCAGATCAAAGGTCCATGGAGCTCTGACAATAACGAGTTGCTTCAAAATCTTATTGAGAAACATGGTGCTTGAAATTGGTCGGTTATTGGTAAATCTATACCTAGTGGATATGGGAAATCGTGTAGGTTACGATAGTATAAGCAGTTATCGCCACAGGTGGAAGGTGGAACACTGTGCGTTTATGCCAGAGGAAGACGAGATGATTCTTCGTGCTCGTGCTCGGTTTAGGATTCCATGGTTCCGACGATTTAGACGTTCTTACGTCTACCCGCCAATCGCTCGAACATGCGCAATTGTTGTTCCGCAAATCGAAGTAGCAACGTCATCGCCTCCGCTACCGCCATCACAAGTAGCAATTCTTTTACCACCTCCGTCTCCACCTCCGAACGGGTTTAGGAACACATCGGTGGTGAAGAGAATCAGTCGTTAAGAGAACGCATAGATGGTTTGGGTATTTTCTTTTAGCTTTTTAATAAAAATAAAGATGAAAGATAATAGAAAAAGTAATTAAAAAGGTAAAAAAAATATTTTCTATTTGAATAGGAACCAAAACCACATTAGAAAATGAACAAATGACCATAACCACAAAAATAAAAATAGCGTAACCTCATAAATCAAATTTGCAGTTCACTCTACTAATAATTAATGAGTATAAGCACATGAAAATAAAGAAATAGTAAAATTGTGGTGGCTTTCTTATAAAAGTAAGGAAATGATAAATTTTATTAGTCAAATATGAGACTTTTTAAATTATTTGAAATACTGCTTAATAAATTATGAATTTAATATAAATATAAATATAAACAAAATAATAAATAACTCTATTGCTGATCTATATTATTTCAACAATTTGAAAGATCGATTGAACTATTCTACACCGTTGATCTACAATTATGTCAACTTTGGACGGTCCAGATTCGTTCTAGCGTATTCCTCGTGGGTATTTAGTTATATACGGAGCTACTTTTTCCAAACCGAAAGTCGTAAAATCCAGAACAATAACGCTTTAGAAGCTTGTACGTTACTTGTCTAAGATAGTAAAAAAAGTACTGTTTATATATCTCATCCATGGAACTCCATTGTTACATGCTTTTGCTTCTTCTGAAACTCCATTGTCTGTCAACAATGGCCAGCTCTCGTCTTTCGTTCTCCGGAACAAATCTAAAACGTCCATCCACATCACCGGCAAGGTCGGCTTACATTAAACCTACGATCGCCCTTGCCGGAGTGGCCCAAAACCTTTCGTACTGGGATTCCATACATTCCGATATCGACTCCCACCTGAAAAAAGCCCTCCCCATCCGTGAACCCGTGTCCGTTTTCGAGCCGATGCACCACTTGACATTTGCGCCACCCAAAACCACCGCATCGGCGTTGTGCGTCGCTGCGTGTGAGCTAATCGGCGGCAACCGGGAAGATGCAATTGTAGCAGCGTCGGCAATTCACCTCATGCATGCGGCTATATACACGCATGGCCACCTCATGTTAACTGACTCAGACCAGAAAATTCCGCACAGGTTTGGCCCCAATATCGAGCTTCTCACCGGTGATGGTATGTTTCCGTTTGGGTTCGAGTTACTCGCGGCGTCCATGGACCCAGATGGAGATAACTCCGACAAGATACTGAGGGTGATCATAGAGATTACCCGAGCCGTCGGTTCACAAGGGATGGTCGCCGGTCAAGATTCCGACGTTGAATTTGACCAATTGAGTGGTCAAACACGACGCTGTCTTCATGGATGTGGGGCCGCCTGCGGAGCCATATTAGGTGGTGGGAGCCACGATGAGATTGAAAGGTTGAGAAGATATGGAGTCTATGCTGGTAAAATACAAGGACTTTTAAGTGAAATTGGTAGAAAGGAAAGGGGTAAAGTAAAATTAGTAGAGAAATGGAGGGCTTTGGCTCTAAAAGAGTTGGAATATTTTGATAGCAAAAGAATTGAGCAAATTTCTAAAATTTTAATATCGGTTATATCATGTTATTATGATGTTTAATATACTAATTAATGTATAACAACTCTTTCAGTTTGCATATGGTAACATGTAAAATGTAAACATTTGGGTGGTTTGGCATAAGTTATTTAATTTGGATTACATAAAATATCTTCCAAATTTACTTATAAAATAATAAAGACATTGAACGTGTTCCATAGATTGATAGATAGAATTAGTTTGTAGGTGACAGTTGGAAAGTTATGTTAGCTTTTATTTGTATATAACTGTTCTGTAAAAATAATTAAAATTTTTAAAACATATAAAATTATATAAAATTACTTATCTAAAATATATCGTTTATTTAAAGAAAAGTAATTAAGTTTATTGCAAATTTACAAAAGTGTTTATTGTTAAACACTACTTAAAAGTATCTTTTGAATTTGAAGCTTTTGTTTTTGTAACATCTCAAAAATACAGCCCAAAAATTTCGTTTAATTTAATAATAAAAAAACCATAGTCGATAAACCTCATATAAAAATCATAAGCAATGTATCTCAAAATATTATAACAACTGTCAAGTATATCAGAGTATAAACATCTCAGGCTGAACAAATGGTGTGTGCACTGCAATCTTCCCGAGCTCCTCTTTTGAAAACTGAGTACCTGAAACCAAAACTGAAAACTGTAAGCACGAAACTTAGTGAGCTCCCCAAACTACCCCATACCATACAATAACATATAAAACACATACTGGGCCTTGCCCACTGCATCAGACCGAAGTCCGGACTAACTGGGGCCTTGCCCCCTACATCGGACCGAAATCCGGACTAACTGGGGCCTTGCCCCCTGCATCGGACCGAAGTTCGGACTAACTGGGGCCTTGCCCCTGCATCGGACCGAAATCCGGACTAACTTGGGCCTTGCCCACTGCATCGGACCGAAGTCCGGACTAACTGGGGCCTTGTCCCATGCATCGGACCGAAGTCCGGATTAACTGAACATAGCATAACATGATCATAACATATAACATAAGCACATATACTGCATACTGCATCGGACCGAGGTCCGGACTAACTAACACATAAACATGCCTGAATCACAAAGACACCAAGCATACTGAACTACTGCATCAGACCAAAGTCCGGAACTACTACTATCTAAACGGGCCGGCATTGTGGTCGTAGACCCGTTCCTACTGGAAGGAAAACTCACCTGAACTGCTGAACTCGGCCGGTAACTCTGTGGCTGCTAACCGACAACTCTCCGAAATGCTGCTCCTCTAGCTCCCTGAGCTACCAATACCAATAATAAAACTTAGCCTAAACTGTCCTCCCAAGGTCAACTAAGTCAACTCTGGTCAAAGCCAGGTCAAAGTCAACCTTCCAGTTGACCCGACTCGCCAAGTTGTTCTACCAACTCGCCGAGTCCATGCTCTTTTATCTCAAAACAACCCCGACTCCACTCGTCGAGTCTGGAAATAACTCGACGAATTCTCCTTCAACTAACACTTTGGGACCTTCTTCAACCGGCTCGCCGAGTTCATCCTTGAACTCGTCGAGTTCATCATCATAGCATGAATGTCTAGGCTTTGACTCGCCGAGTTGTATGAACAACTCGTCGAGTTCATCTTCATAACTAAGAAGATTGTCTTGGACTCGCCGAGTTCCTCATTGAACTCGTCGAGTGCAATGATCTTGATGATCATTATGGGTCCAGACTGACCGAATCCTCACTAACCCTACTCACTGATCCGACTCATAAACAGAAGGGTTTGGGTTTACGACCCGACTCGCCGAGTCCATGAACTGACTCGTCGAGTCCTCCTTGTGACATCTCTATTCTGTCGATTATAGTCCATTCTAAAACCTCCAACCCATAGATCTGGACTCCAAATGCTAGCAATGCACGTAAAGTTGCTAACTTTACATGCATGCAAGGTGTTATGAAGCTAGAACACCAAATCCAAGCTAATATGAAGGTCTAGGTTATGGAATGAGGCTATGGTTGGGTAAAGCTACCCCCTCAGAGCTCCTCAAGCTCAGAAATGCTCAAATCTCAAGTCCTTTTCGTCCTCAAGGCTCAAAGTTTGGATTGCCCTTGGAAATGGTCCAAATGTGATAAAATCTATGCTAGAAAGGGATCTAAATGATTAATAGTCAAGGCATAAGCTTTTTACCTCCAAATGGTCTCAAATGCTACTCCAACTCTGGATCTATATCTCCTTCTTTCACCACCAAGGTCCTTCTTCCTTCTCCAAGCTTCAATTCACTCACAAGGTAAGAAAATAGCTCAAGAATGAGGTTGGGTGGCTAGGGTTTCGAGTTCTGGACTATAGGGGCCGCAAATGAACCCTAGGGAAGAGAATGAGATGCTTAAATAGGGTACCAAGTCCCGGAATTAGGGTTTCCCGACCCAGACCAGACTCGCCGAGTCCACTAGCCGACTCGTCGAGTCGGTCACTTAATCTTCCACACGGAGCCCGCTCCGACTCGTCGAGTTTTTCCTTGGGCTCGACGAGTTGACTCTTTCGACTTAGGGCTTTTCTTTCCTTTCTTGGTCTTGCTGATTCTGGGTGTTACAACTCTCCCCCACTTAAACTAGACTTCGTCCTCGAAGTCCGTCACGGCCAACCGTCCTCCAATCTGCTCACAACCTTCCTGTACGATGCACACTTTATCTGCTCGGTCCAACCCTCGGGGAACCGCCTTCAATGGCCTTCTACCCGGTCATTCCGACTAAAACTAGTTCTTGTAGCTAATCACCTTGAGTGCACTCTAATCTCCAACAATCCTGAGAACACATCTTACCCAACTGACCATCCATCTGGTACTTCCCGAGTACTTATGATGAACATCCTAGGGGCTCACCCCCCCCACCTTTTCCTTGCGCGTTTTCTGGCTTTCCCAAGGCAACTCCCCATAACTAACCACCTCCCCTGCCACTGCGAAGGACATACCTTTCACGCTATCCATTACTCCAGCCATTTAAATTAGATTTCATCCTCGAATTCATTCCTTAGCATTCCTTACATGCTAACTACTCCAGGTTCCCACTAGAGCAACATAATTCATAGATCCACTTATCCCTGCGATTCACTTATACTTGGCCATAACTCAGATAATCGTGCTGTAAGTGACTTAGCATAACCCAAGTTATCTGTGACTCTAACCGCACATAAAATACCAAAATACCATTACTGCTGGAGGCCCAAAACTGTCTGAAACACTGATCTTCCTGAAACACTGAACTGCCTGAAACACTGAACTGCCTGAAACACTGAACTGCCTGAAACACTAAACTGCCTAAAACAGCATGCTGCTACATGGCTGCTTTCCAAAATCTATCGAGACCCTCCTGGTCTCAATTCATTCGTCAGTCATCCGAAATACCGGGTTCCGGCCCGGCTGCGGAGCCAAAGGACTCCCACTTAGTCGCCTCACACGTCTTCTGAACGAATTCCTTCTCTAGAACTAGTTACCACTAGTTACCATGCCCCTGAGGCTCTAATAACTTTCTGATATAACTGATGGAGTCCATACGTCGAATCCTTACGTCACCAAACCCAAGGCTAAAAGTGATTGCTACATGACCATTGTTAGCCTCATGTCATGAATGACCATAAGCAGACCCCTGCTTCCTTGCTCTCATAGTTGTAGTGGCGCTTCTATAGTCTTATCACTGGCTTAACCAGGTCTAATCCGCCTAGGTAAATCCGAAATCCAATCCGTGGATTTCCATATCCTCACTGCTACACCCGAACTGGTGGGTACTACTGTTCCTTCTGCGTCTTAACAACGCACTCACGCTATCTACCAACCTAGTGAATGCTACGGCTACACCCGCAGACTTACAGAACTCTAACACTATGTGGCTGCTAGTGAATGCTACGGCTGCACCCGCAGACTTACAACACTCTAATACTGTCTGGCTGCTAGTGAATGCTACGGCTACACTCGAAGACTTACAACACTCTAATACTGTCTGGCTGCTAGTGAATGCTACGGCTACACCTGCAGACTTACAACACTCTATATACTGGATCGACACGCGCTTGACTCGCACTCAACTGAACTCATGTCCTGACTGGAATCCCCAACTTGATTCCCTAAGGCTTGCTAGCAAACATTCCAAGAACTTGATCTCATCATTGGCAAGTTTTTCCGAACTTCCATCTCACATTCTCCTCGAACCATACAGCCACATAGGCTGTCTTCCTTTCAGATAAGGATGCAAAACTTATCCTAGTCTCAAAACTGCTCCTACTTCTGAATCCTTGGATGATTCTCCCCCACTTTGATTTAACTAACGCCTTACGGCACACAATACTAGAAGGATTCTCGATCCTTCTTACCATTCTATGCCCAATCTGCTGAAAACCACGTTTACCATTGCTAGTGTTTCAATACTAGTCAGTCCAAAAGATCACACCCCTTTCAAGAACCCGAATAAATCTCCGGTAATAACCCGCTAGACCCAGGAAACTCCGAATCTCAATTGGAGACCTCGGAATCTCCCACTGCATCACGGCCTCCATCTTGGCCGGAACGACTAGAATACCCTTCTGATTGACAAGGTGCCCAAGAAATTGCACCTCGCGCAACCAGAACTCACATTTGGAGTACCCTACAAAAAGTCTCTCCTTCCTCAAAGTCTCTAGCACCTCCCTCAGGTGCTTCTCGTGCTGCTCCTCAGTCTTGGAATAAACCAAGATGACGTTGTACTCTCCCAATCCCGCGATTTGGGATATGATCTTTCGCTATCCACTAATAATTCTCGGTATGCAATTGGCATATAACTCAATAACAAATAGGCCACAAAATTCCGAAATATCATTATCCTTACTGATGCAGAACCATAACAATAAAATCATAACATAAGCTGATAGAGAGAGGAAGATTCATACCCGCAACCTGCTCTAAAGAACCCCCGAATCCTCCTTCCTTCCGAGGCCTGCGATGATACTGAGGCTGCCCTATCCGATGAGCGGGGTAATTTGCCCTGACATGACCAGGCTGATGGCAACGATGGCATAACTCTACTTCTATTGTGCATTCTTGGAT